ATAAAAGGTATAACATTATTTTTTTCCTCACACGACTAAAGAAAATTGATTTAAAAAAAAAAGTGTTATGTGAACTAAAACTTTAAAGGTACATAGTGTAATTATTTTAAACTTATAAAACTTGAAATATTTTCTCTAAATTTTAAGAAAAGGTGATATAATTTACCCAGATAATAATGTAAACAGCAAATTACATTAAGAAACTTGCAACTATCAGAGTTATATATTTGTACATTTTGACATTTTAGCTAAAAAAATACATCATTTGTACCTTTCTTGCTTGATCCTTCCTTTGCAAACGACATTTGTATGATTTTTATAATTGAGGGAGTTAAAAGCGTAAAGATTATAAATGTGAAAATTAAAGTGATATTCAATAATGGGTAAATTACATATTGCCTCTTTTATGTTTGATCATTTTTCTATTTGGGCCCTTAAAGTTCCCCTCTATTTTGACCCTTTATGTTTCAAGTTTTTTCTAATTTATTTTAAAAACTAATTTTTGTTGAAAATTAGACAAAAAAACGTCACGTTAGCTGCCACATAACATAAAAATTATATTATTATATTAGGATTTTAGTTTGTACTACGTGACTTTCAATGCATCATTTTCTGTCTAATTTGATATGTAAGTTAGTATCAGGAGCAAATTAAAAAAAAAATTGAAACAGAAAAGAACAAAGTGAAAAATAAACTTCAAGAGCCTATGTAAAAAAATGACCAAATATAAGAGGGACAAAGTATAATTACCCATTCAATAATAGTGGAAGTAGATTTACACTATTATGTTTGGAAATTTAAGAAAGAAAAGACAATAAATGGTGGGTGAATTACACTAATTAATAGTCCCTATAGTTTGGGGTTTATGTCATTTTAATCCCTGACTTTTCGATTGTGACACATTTGACCTTGAATTTTGAATCTTGTTTCAAATAAGGATAATTGAAGATATCATTAGATTTTTAAAGGGTAAAATTGTCAATTTGATAAAATATAAACTAATTTGACAAAAATAAATGTCAAAAAAATATTTTTGAATTTTTAAAAATTATTTCTACCCACTAAAGATAAAATTATGTAAAATTGATAAATCTTTTAGACATTTATTTATATTTTTATCAAATTAATTTTTATTATGTGTTTGGATGATGATCATGCAAAATTAAATTTTAAAAATTAATCATGTAATTTTTATTAATTTTGTTTAATTTTACATAATTTTATCTTTAGTGGATAGAAATAATTTTTAAAAAATTAAAAATATTTTTTTGACATTTATTTTTATCAAATTAGTTTATATTTTATTAAATTGACGATTTTGCCATTGAAATTAAATAATGGTATCTTCAATTGTCCTTATTTGGAATAAGATTCAAAATTTAAGATAAAATGTGTCACAATTGAAAATTCTGAAAGTAAAGTAACACAAGTTCCAAAGTATAGGGAATGCTAGTGTAATTTGCCCATAATGATCACACAAGGTATGAGAAAAAAGAAAAGGAGAATCCTTTTGTTTATGTAAATATGAGAGAAAATAAAAGAAAAGAAAAGAAAAGATAGCAATTTCTCTCATTTTGTTTAGTTCAACTACATAAAAGGAAAAAAAAAATTTATTTCATGTTATATTATCAAAATATTTTTTTTTATTATAAATATTACTTTTTATTTTTATTTTTAATTCTTCTATATCTAATGTGGTAGTTTTATAAGAAATAATAATTAATTATTTTTCTCTCTCTCAATCTTTTCATTTTTAGGCTATGTTTGGTATGTTGGTTTTGGGCGAAAATATAGTCAGAAAAAGACAAAATAGATTAAAAAAATCAATTAGACAAAATATTATATTCAAATCATAATTATTTCATTTTTTTATCACAAAAGTCAAAAAATTAAAAAAAAAATATCGCAAATAAGACTTTTTAGCTCTAGACTCAAATAGCTATAAAGCCAAAAAGTCCATCCACTAAAGGCTTAGAGAGATTCAAAATGACAGTTATAACATAATCATTTTTTTGCCCTATTATTTGATATTTACTTATACAATAATGTTAGAGTGCCACAATTTTTGTGGCCACAATGGCTCAAAATTGTCAAAACGACGTCGTTTTGACATGTTTTGCACCCAAAACGACGTCGTTTTAACAGTTTTGAGTCATTGTGGCCACAAAAATTGTGACCCTCAAACATTTTCCTTACTCATATTTACTTATCTAAACAAGTAATATGGACAATGAAAAATACATATTTTTCTTTCTCTATCCAAATTATCTAATCTAAGCGAACTGTTAATGTAATTGACCCAAGTTTAAGAGTGAGGTTAGACTAATTTATTAACTAGAAGTCAAGAAGTTATTATAAAATATTATATTAATCTCTTTATTTTTTTTATATGATTTTTTTTTGGTTGTAAAATATTAAAAAATTAATTTTCAAAGGAGAAGTTTTGTTTGGGTTGAGCAATACTTGTGGAGCACGGAAGGACTATTTTGCCATTTGGCAAAAGTGGGGGTCTTTGTAAAGGAAGTGGATCACCTCTTGCACGCTTCCGTCCTCCCATCTTCCTGCACTTTCATCACACTCGACCTTATCTACCAATACAATCGAAGGGTCCTAATTAATCATAATTATATAAATTGCATCACAAACCCTTTTGGAAAACTTCTGCTCTTGTTCTTTCATATCATTATTGAGCTAAACCTTCCATCACAATTTAATTAAACTTAATATTATAAAATAATAATAATAAAAATTTGAATACTTAATTAATAATTATATGTGTTTAATTACAACAATTAGAGATGAAATGAAAAATAGTTTAGATTATATTTTTGAATTAGAAAATGAGTTAAATAGATTAAATTCTCTTTCGGTTACTGCTTTTAAACAATTTATAATAAATTATAGCAAGAGAATTGCTAGGATTAAAAATAAAATATCCTTATAAAAGGCAAGTATCGATTGCCAATGAAATTTTTTGCAAGAGTTAATATTAAATTAAATCCACAAAATCTGCAGCTGAAATTGGTATTAGAGCCCGATTTCTCGACCTTGTCAATAACATTTGCATGAGTATTAAATATAGTGAATAAATAAAATCTAATAACTTAAATAATAATACTTCTTTACAAATAATGATTGAACAAAATAATACCTTAATTAGACTATTAAAATAAAAAACAAAAATCTTAGACGTAATCAGTTAAAAATAAAAACCCTCAGTTCCCTATTTATTTGCGAAATTAGCCCTGGGACCGAAAACACATCATGGACGAATTTGTACAGATCCTAATCAACCCCCAGTAGCTTAGAAATCATTTTTAAAACTCTAATATTAGTTATTTAATTCTTTAATTATAGATTGATCACTCAAAACCCTAGTTTCCGATTTTCATCAATTTTGTTCGATTATTTGCCTTGTAATTCAAAGCGAAGCAACTTAACCGAATTATTTTTTTCTAACACTATTTTATCAATTCTATATTTGAAATAGATATATTTTAATTGAGCCCAAACTTCTTCACAAGGGTACAGATAGTACATAACATTTTCTCAAAATCGACTCTTTACTCAGACTCACACCTATTCACCCCCCTTGAACAATCTTTCTAAAATGGTTATGCATCATGAAAGTAAAATAATTTCTCATTATTCAAGCAAGTGAGACAAAATAGAGTAACCATCCTCAAAATCTTCAAGTAAAATCGCAAGCACATCTCAAATTTCACAATTTTTCATTCAAATGCCACTTAAATATCATAATCCAATCATTAATTTAAAGAATTAAAGATCAATTTCATTTCATCACATTATTTTTAAATTTTCAAAAATTAAGACACAGACTGCTCGAGCGATGAATGAGAACTCTCAATATCTCTACCTACAAAACGAGATATTGAGGACTCATTTTTCTTCGTTGGAGCTACTATTTGACCGCTCGAGCAGTCCCTCGATCTACAAAGTAAACTACTGAAAGTACCTCGTCCCTGTTCAGGCGGTCGTTTCACTACTTGAGCAGTTACTTGGGACAAATTGTCTCAATAGAACTTACTAGAAAAAAGATTTGATAGAATAACTCAAGAAGTAGAATATTATCCACAACAATTAGATTTAATATCTCAAGTATAAAAAAATAACAAAAAATAAAAAATAAAAAATAATTTATAATAAACCACAAACAAATCTAAAATAATAATAGTAATATAAGAGTGTAAATGAAATAATAAAGAACTTTAGGGGTCATATTGAAATTTCCTAATGGCCAGGCGTCTAGCATGGCTGGAGAGGAGTTAGATTCCTTTATAAACAAAGAGAAATGCTCAGAATATATCTTTACGGATTTCGAATACGGGTTGGTTTGGGATGTTAAAAAAAAGTGTATTTTTTGACTTATTGGTTTATATGGGTTGGGTTTGGGTTGGGTTTGATGTGATGTGTTAAAGAGGTGATGTGATTTAAATAAGATGATGTGACTTAAATAGGATAGTGACTTTTTGACTTTTTGTATTATTTAGTAGATGCCAAACTTGGCATAAAAATTAAATTGATAATGTGTAAGATTTACATATGAAATGAATCTAAACTACTAATTTTTTTAAAATAAATTCTGAATTGATAGTAGTGAATTTATAATATAAAAATGCTTTACACCACTAATTAGTGGTGGCTCTAATGATGTGGTAGTAGGTCCCACCCACTGCCACATGTGTTTTGTGCCTTGTTTTTTTTTTTTTTTAATTGCCACCTCACTAGTGATAGTATTAGTGATGATAAATTAGTGGTCTATAGCATTGCTCTTTATAATATTACGGATAAACAAGACCCAAATGCATGAAATTAGATTCACAAGAAGGGTTTTCATGGTAAACTCATTTTAAAACCCTTTGAAGTATATTCATTTAAATTCATTTTTAAACCCTTTGAAATATATTTTGGATAGTTTGGGAAAACAACAAACAGAATAAATCTAAAATAAAATTAAAAAAAACAGAGAAGAAGTCTTTTCTCCGTGCTCTTGATGAGAGAGAAATTGGAGAGAGAGGGAAGTCTCTGCGAAAATGGGTTTGACCATTCTCTCTCTCTCTCTGTCTTTCTCGTCCGTGATGGGATTCACACGCTAAATTCCCTTTCTCAGCCTCTCCTTCCCCCCAAACCCTTCTCTTGCCTCCCATAAATCCTCCTTCATCTTCGAACAAATCTTGGTGTAGCCAATTTTCTCTGATTTCCCACTTTTGTCTTGAATATTCCCATCATACCCATTTTATTTTAATTTTAATTTTCTCGGAAAACAAAATCTTGTCAGCTTGCAATTGGTCTGTTTTTCCTTCAAGGTTGGCTTTGAAGTTGAAGAAAACCCAGGTTCAGTTTTCTTGATTTCTTTGTGTTTTGGATCAAGATCGATCAAATTTCCACCGATCCCACTTTATCTTGCTTATATTTGGATACCCGTTTCTCCTACAGATCGGAAAAGCTTGAGAATTGAAGCTTTTGATTAATGGGAAATTGTTGTGTAACACCATCTGTTCAATCAGATGAGGTACAGGAAAAGGGAAAGCGAAAAAATAAAGAAAACCCATTTGCTAAAGACCATGGAAATGGTGGATACAAGACCCATGTGTTGGACAACCCAACAGGCCATGAAATTGAGCAGACCTACGTGCTCGGTCGCGAGCTCGGTCGCGGTGAATTTGGTGTAACATATTTGTGTACTGATAAATCTTCAGGTGAAGTGTTTGCTTGTAAATCCATATCAAAGAAGAAGCTAAGGACACAAGTGGATATTGAGGATGTGAGGAGGGAGGTTGAGATCATGAAGCATTTGCCTCCTCATCCCAATATTGTGAGCTTGAAGGACACTTATGAGGATGCCAATGCAGTCCACTTGGTGATGGAGCTCTGTGAGGGCGGTGAATTGTTTGATCGGATCGTTGCTAGGGGTCATTACACTGAACGGGCGGCCGCAGCTGTAACTCGCACAATTGTTCAAGTCATTCTGGTGAACATCTCTCAATCTCTCGTCTTTCTTTGCTTATCCATCTTATAGTTTTTGCTTTGATCTCACTTTCCAAATTAGTATTGCTTTGATCTGCATATGTATTATCTATTATATATGTGTTGTTGCAAAATGATGTTTTGTCACAGTGATTCCAATCTCAATCCAATTTTCTTGTTTTAAAATTTATAAAAACATGCCTTGCAAAACTGTTGGTTTTCTTCTTTACATAATTGGGGAAATATTTCCTAAAAACTTTAGAATTTAGATGGATCGAGATCCTCTCCATCACATACATGGTTTTAAAATAGTCTTATGAACTTATCTTTTTATTTATTTTTTATTTTTTCTGAAATCAAGAAAAAATCTTGCTTTGCATTAAAGTTTTTCAACTCTTTCACTTGTGGAGCCAACTTTTAGTTCCATAGTTCTTTTGAGTAATTTTTTTGACATAATAAATTTACATAATCACTACTAAAGTTATGTTATGTCATCTGAATTGAACTTTTAGCTAAAGCTTTCCTAACCAAATACATGATATGTACATGCTATGTTCAATAATTATATACCATATTTCTCACTGGCTTTTTGGCTTTAACTTTCTTTATTAAGGACGCATTAAGATTTCTGAACTCTTCCCTAAATGAAGATTTCTTAATATTCTTTGAAAATGGGGTAAGGCTGCGTACATTTTGCCTCCACAGACCCCACTTTAGCCGGAGCCCCCCTGCACTGGGTTGCCCCTTTTTCTTTTGTTTTTTTTTTAAATCTTATTTTTTGAATTCCCATTCTTAAAAGAAAATATATTTTTATGCATAATAAGATATATGTTATTTTTGCTATTTGGACGTGCTTCTAGATATGAATATATTCTCCTTTGTTATGCTGCAGATGTGCCACAAGCATGGGGTTATACATCGGGATCTCAAGCCTGAGAACTTTTTGTTCGCAAACAAGAAGGAAACAGCACCCTTAAAGGCAATTGATTTTGGGCTGTCTGTATTCTTTAAACCTGGTAATTCCTTTTTATAGCCATTGCACTTGAATAATTTGCTTTTTGGCCTTCATCAATTAGTTATCCCTCCATTTACACTATCTGAAATTTTATATCTACAGGTGAGAGATTTAATGAGATTGTAGGAAGTCCTTACTACATGGCTCCTGAGGTGCTAAAACGAAACTATGGTCCAGAAATTGATGTCTGGAGTGCTGGAGTTATCCTTTATATCTTACTTTGTGGTGTCCCACCTTTTTGGGCAGGTCAGTATCCGAATCAAAGATTTGATGTGTAATTTTCACTTCCTTGAGGGTTATATGCCTAAAAGGTATTGTTGTTGTGGGCAGGCATTACTTGAAAATTAGAAAATTGTGTTGGTGTGTTTACATTTATGTCACTGAACTACACAAATGCCATTCTAGTTCAAAGCATTTGAATGAGAGCATTTTAGTTATTTCATTTTATTTTGTTCAACTCAATTAGAAAATATGGATGGATGAAAAATGCAGCAGCATCCTCTATTCCTTACAACGGAGAATATAGAAACAAGGAATAGTAGCTTAATTGTGTGTGTGTGTGTCTGTGAGAGAGAGAGAGAGAGAGAGAGAAATTTCTGATTGTGTAGTCGCTATAAGTTATGTTCTGTGCTTGGCACTACCTATGAAACATGAGTAGCAACAACAAACACAAAAAGTATAATAAAAGCTTCTTTTTTTTTTTTGTTTCTCTCTCCCCTTAATAGAATGGGGAGGGGAATCGTTTGAGGGTCTGATTGGGTAAAAGAGGAACATACTGTCTCAGTATCAGACATTTTTAGAAATGCCTTACTTTGTGAGGATGACAAGTAGAATTAATCAGCTTATTAGTCATGTAAATGAGTATTAACTGTAGAGTGTTTCTTTATGAATGAACTTGTTAGATCAATAAATGTGTACACCATTTATATGGGTTCTTAGTGGATTTGTACTTCAGATTTTCCACTTCTTAGAAGTTGCATGACTGGAGTGATTTTCTAAGATAATTTCTCATCATTATTGACTCTTGAGATTTCTGTCGTATCTAAAAATCTATTCTTTGCTTTTCAGAGACTGAACAAGGAGTTGCCCAAGCTATCATTCGGTCTGTTGTAGATTTTAAAAGGGACCCATGGCCCAAAGTTTCTGACAATGCAAAAGACCTCGTAAAGAAAATGCTTGACCCTGATCCTAAGAGACGGCTTACTGCTCAGCAAGTGCTAGGTATGGTCTTGTTAAAATGGAAAATATGTTTATAAAATTATAATATTAACCAAAGTAACTGTTACTTACAAATTTTCTATATTCAGAATGTAAGAAACCTAAACCAAGATTTTTGCTGCTTAATTTCAGACCATGCATGGATACAAAATGCCAAGAAGGCTCCCAATGTTTCTTTGGGTGAAACTGTGAGAGCAAGGCTCCAGCAATTCTCTGTAATGAACAAGCTTAAGAAAAGAGCTCTAAGGGTAATGTTCAAAGCTTGATCAGAATGAACAATTTAGTACTATTTGCTTTTCCATTCAAGAAATATGTTTTATCAAGGTTAATCGATCTTGGTCACCTATTTTGTTACTAAAATTACTTGCAAAATTAACAGGTCATTGCGGAGCATTTGTCAGTGGAGGAAGTGGCCGGCATAAAGAAGGGATTCCAATTGATGGATACCAACAACAAAGGGAAGATCAACATTGATGAGCTAAGAGTTGGGTTGAAGAAGCTTGGCAGTCAGATGCCTGAATCAGATCTCCAGATTCTTATGGAAGCTGTGAGTACATTCCTAACTGTTTTTTAACTTTGTACCTTGGTATCAGATGAAAAGTATCACCTAGATCAATTTTGTTTAGGCAAATGTACTCTTATGAAGTTCTTACATTTGTGTTTGGACAACGCAACGAAGGGTATGATCAGTTGTAGGTGCTTTCGTATAGAGCACATTTTGCAATAGAGATTTTTTGTTCTCTTATAACCCACAGTTGAGAACAGCAAAAAATTGAAACAAAAGATTCATACATAATGATGTGACTAAATGTGCACCTTTCACTTTAAAACATAATACCTATAAAGATGAATTCATTTACAAGAATGACATTGCCACATCATTCTTGTGGAGTTTTTTTTTTTTTTTTTTTTTTTCATATTCCAGCTATCGTGCAAATTTGACTTGTAATGTCAATTATTTAACTTAATCTACACTAGACTAAAGATTTAAAGAAGAAAGAAAACACAGAAATACTATGATAAACTAAATACAGACCTTGTCAGTGTCCACATCCTGCATGATGGCATTAATGACTTCTTCATTGTTGGTCTCGACTTCATCAGCCAAGGTATCCCTTAGTTTCTTCAATCTCTATATAACACTTTGGTTTTGATCAAAGAATTTGAAGGCTTCGAGAAGGTGATCATCATTACCCCTCTTTCTGAGATGAACAGAAATAGCAACAAACTCTCCGTAAATCCAAATGTCCATCCTTATCCACATCACCCTGTAAAACAGCCTCAGATTAATTCGACAAAAATAAATTTATGTGAAATCAAAATGGATACAGGAACTGATCTTCAAGAATCCAATCAATTTTACCAATCCAGATGGTTATTACTGATAATTACTTGAGTAATTCCTTATTGCACTAAAAATATACATTAACCACAGTTTGAAGTGGCCTGGTGGTAATTTCTGGCCACCTGCAGTGAATAATGTTGATTTGATCTTTTTTTCCTTTTTTCTGAAAGTGTGTCGGTTGATCTAATAGAATGAGGATGAGAAAACAGAGATTGCACGAGAATACTGCTTAGATGTTCACAAATCATGGTTTTATTGCCAAAAAAAATTAAATTTTGGAAAACACTATTCTTACATC